GCCACGTGGCAGCTACTGTGAACTGAAGACCCCCCTGCTCAAGGGGGCTGCTCTACAATGGTGCGGGCCTGCTCACATAGCAGACCCTAGATCTGCACATCTGCAGAAGTGCTGCTGGGGGCTGGTCAAGATCTCAACCCCCCTCTCTCCTCCGACTGGCTGTTGCAACGAAGACCAAGACCCTCCTGGTCTTGGTGTACCTTGTGCCCTTGGAGACACCAATGGCCAGGTATCACTCCCTTCTCCCCTCTCCCTCTACTAACCCACTCTCCCTACCTCTCCTCTCTCTTCTTATTCACCCCTTCTCTTTCTCCCACCTTCTGCTGCATCTTTTCTCTCCTCCTTTTATCTTCCTCACCCCACCTTTCTCCCACCACCCATTCTTTTACTCTATTTTCTTCATCTCTTCTTTTCTTTCCTTCTTTCTCCTTCTTTCTTGATCCCTGTCAACCTTTCCCCATCCCTCCTCTCCCCCAACTACCACCACACCATCCCCCCTACCTCCCACTTTATCTTTTTTTCTCCCCCCACCTATTTCTTTCTTTTCTCCTTCACTTTTTCATTCCCCTTCCCCCCTACTTCGAATTATTTTTTTTTTCCTGTTTTTCTTCTTTCCACCTCTCTTTTGATTTATCTTTTCTCTTTTCTAAAAATTTGAAATCTCTTATTTCCCACCCTCTTTTTTTATTTTCTGATTCATTTCATTTATTTTTCTATTTATTCTGGAAATTCGATTTTCTCTACGACAACCCTAAATCTGATTAGTTGTTAGTTTTCTCATCTTCTTCCCCACCCTCTTTTCTTATTTTCTGATTTATTTTATTTATTTATTTTTATTTATTTTGAAAATTTGAATTTCTTGGCGGCAACCCTAAATCTGATTAGGTGTTAGCCTTTCTTGCTTTCGGCACACGTTTTGACCCCGTGGGGGTAACGAAGTGCTGCCGAAATTTTTTTATTTTCTCTTACTTAGTCTTTTCGGCACACTTTGACCCCATGGGGGTAACGAAATGCTGCCAATTTTTTTGAAAAATCAGATAACCCATTTCTCCCCACCTCCTCACACATTTATTTATTTATTTATTATTTCTTTATTTATTTCCTGAAATTTTTTATTATTATTTGCGGCATCTCTAGTGTGCTCACCTTGGTCTCTCCTTTTCCCTTGGCACATTCTTGACCCCGTGTGGGGGTAGGGAAACGCTGCCGAAAATTTCAAAAAAATAAATATTGTTTTCCCTTTCCATCCTTTTCCTTATTTCTTTAATTATTTTTATTATTTATTTATTTCCTTATCTATTTTTATTTTCTCTTGAAATCTCGCTGTTTATTTATTTTTCTCCCGCCTTCCCCCCCCCTATGCTTGCTCTTTTACTTTCTTGATTAGGTCACCGGTACCCTACCCTAACCACTTAAACCTCGGTTAGGGTTTTCCTTAGGGTTTTTGTAGGGTTTAGGGTTCCTCAAAACCCCCCTACTTCCCCGTCCTCTTCGGGCACCCTGGACCCGAACCACCCCTCCCCCTTTGACGGCGCCCGCGCTAGCCTTGCTAGCGCCGTTTGCCGCTTTCTACCGCGGACTTCCCCCTATGCCCTCCGCTCACGAGGACCTCTTCTGGCCCCCTCCAGTCTGGTCCGTCATCTCCCCATGGCTGCCGGTGTGTCACACGCCACCGACACAGCGACGACCACGGCATCAGGCTCCACACCCGTGCCGGCGGACCAGGGCCATCAGCCCTTGGGGGATCTGCACACCCTCCTCACCTCCTTCCTGGCGCCCATCCAGGCGCAACTCGCGACCCTCACACCCATGCAAGCGCAACTCGTGACCCTCGCGCCCTTACAGGCGCAGGTGGCGACCCTTGCCGCCGGCGTGCGGCAACTCCAGGACGCTGGTCGTCCTTCCTCTCCTCACCCTATCTGTTCTCCTAGCTCCCAGTCCGGGTCCCCCGCCTTCCGACAGGGTGGCCACGGTGGAGCTTCCTCCTCCGCTGCCCCCGATCCGGCCATCTTGGTGACCGTCCACGCACCAAGCACGACGACCGCCACGAGTCAGACCCTCCCTCAGTCCACGGGCGCACCCGCCCAGATTCCGGTCACGACGGTCACGAGACCACAACCCGCTACCATGGTCTCAACTTTTCCGGGTGCCCCACTTCTCCCCCCTCTTCGCACGACCGCAGCGCCATCTGGCTCTCCCCCTTGTGGGATGCCTTGCGCCGCTCGTGCGTCTCCCCCTGCCACACCTCGCTCGACCTACGTTCGAAGTCTCGAGGACGAGATCGCCCGGCTCCGGACTGACCTCGCCCTCTCACGCCTTCAACCACCCCCACCCTCACAGGTGGCCGCGCCTTCCGGTGCACCCCCTTCTTCCTCTATTCTTCCTTCCATGCAGGCTCGCTTCCCTCGCCCTGCACCCTACCAATCTCCATCCTACCTCYTCCCCATCCCCTCGGTCGCCTCGACCTCTTYTACCGCAGCTCCCGTGCAGCCTGCCGCTGCTTCCCCCGCCGCTCCACCATGCGGCCCGGGCGTACAGTCAGTTGCGCCTCCTCCTCCTCCAGGACCTGCGCCGACTTATTCCGCCGTAGCGCAGTCCCCTGCTTCTTGTTCCCCTCGCCACCAAAACAATGGCACACCACTCATCCACTTGTCGGACATTCCCTTGTATGACGGTACAGGCATACGCGTGTCTAGGTGGCTGCAGGTTGCCACCCACAAGCTCCAGCTCATAGGCGCCACACCCGACACATGGGTGGGTCACCTCTCCACGCGCCTGCGTGGTGCTCCTTTCGACGCCTGGGAGGATTTTTATGCTTACTCCCTGCGTGAGGGTCGGACTCTGACCTTCATGGATTTCCAGGCGTTCCTCGAGGATCACTTCAGAACCCGATATGACGTGACTGACGCCTTCGAGCGTGTCGTCACTACACGCTGGTCCGGCTCTTGTGGCGCTGCCGGCCTGGATCGCCACATCCAGGTCTTTCAGGACGCCCGCCTCGTTTGTGACATGGCATTCCTTCCCGAGGCTACCCTTATCGATCGTTTCTTGGCTAGCCTCCCGCTTGAGTACCGCTCCGAGCTATGGCGGTACGAGTTCACATCGGCCCCACAGGCTTACGAGGCCGCCAAGGACCATCAGCAGATGCGAGCCCGTCTTCACCCCGCCTCCTCCTCCCAGCCCCAACGCACGAGCTACGCCTCCTCCTCCTCTCACGGCACTTCCCAGCGCCGTTCCCCTTTCTGCGGTCGCCCCCGCCGTTCCACGCAGCAGGGCCGCCACTTCTCGCGCCGCTTCAGCGCGCTGGAGTATGGTGAGCAGGACGCTGTTGCCCCACTGTCACCTGAGGGCGACCACAGCGACGACCTCGATCTCTGCGAGGCCGTCCACTATCACTTGGAGGACTCTACCCTCCCTGCAGCTGAGCGCCTTCAGCTCGCGCTCTCCGCCCTCTCTCGGGCACGCAGCCGCCCCGGTCACGCTGGCACGTTGCCCCCCGAGGTCCCTCAGGAGGACCTCCCTTAGGGCTTCGTCCCTCCTCGTGGTGTCCTTTCCCTTGAGGAGTGCGCGGCCATTTTGGGCCGGCGTGGGTGTTTGCGCTGCCGCTTGGACGGTCATACCTCCTCGCGGTGCCCTTACAGTACCGCCCTCGACCGCCACTACGCTGACCTTTCTCGTCAGCGTCGTGCTCAGTCCCCCCCCGGCGCCTCACGTCCCCGCGGCGCCTCCTAGCCACGGTGCAGTGTACACCTGCGCCCTCCTCAGTAGTGGGCTTCCCGACATCTCCGTCGTGGTTCGCCCCTCTCGCTACTGGGGTTGAGGTATCGCAGGACTCGACAGAGTGTACTCAGCCCTCTGTCGCAGTACCGTCTGCGCCTCCGCAGACCACCGTCTCCCGTCCTTCCTCACCGCGACTACCGACGCGTCGAGCCATTCGCTCAGCCCGTTGCAGCGAGCAGGTCGCTACTCGCGAGGACGTTGTGTCCTCTCTTCTGGACTTGAGCATGCTCCAGGCTCGTCAGGAGCGACTCACCCTCCATGTCGTTGCACTGTGGCGCCTTCTCGCCATCCTCTCTGACCCTGATCGCACCCTCCCGATCATCCCAGTACGACTCGGAACCTCCACGAGGGTGTACTCCGCGCTGTGGGATTCCGGTTCTCAGGGCGACTTCATTCACCCACGCGTGGTGAAAGAAGCTCGCTTACCCACGACAGGGTCTCCAACTCCCATTTCCGATACCCTAGGGGATGACAAGACCCAACGCTTCTTCGATCAGACGGTCACCGACCTCCCTTTCTTCCTCACTCTCGAGCCGACTGATCGTTCCCCGGCGTCTCGTCGCCACCGCTCCTCTGCACATTTCAATGTGATGGAGACGGGGTACGACTTCATTCTCGGCACTCCGTGGTCTCGTCGGTTCCGCAGCACCGAGGCCGATTGGGCGACCAACACTCTCGTTCTCAAAACAAAGTGTGGACAAACGTATCACGTACCTTTCATCGGTACCACTGCGACATCACGCCCCGATCCTCCTCCCCCGGAGCCTTCCGTGCCCACACCATCTCCTTTCATCACTGTCACCTCGCCTCGGCAGTTCGCCCACTTCATCCGACAGAACGACGTCACCTTCTTTATGGTGGACGTGACGGATCTCTTACACTATGATCCACCCTGTCCCGACGCCGAGCTTATCCCTCTGGAGCCAGATCCTCCTTCTATCTCCATGGCTCCCATCTCTTCTTCCGTCCCCCCGCCGTCCGTCGAGTCCACTTCGTCGTCGCGCGCTGACGCTGACGCTGAGGAGCTCGCACGATATACGACTGACCTGGAGCCCGCAGTTCGTGACCTCATCCGAGAGTACCACGACGTTTTCCCATCGTCGTTCTCGAACGTCGGCATCCCACCGATGCGTGACGTCGAGCACTCCATTCAGCTTGTGCCTGACTATCGTGTTCACCACCAGGCACCCTACAGACTCTCGATCCCCGAGGCCACCGAACTCAAGCGTCAGCTTGAGGAGCTCCTGAGACTTGGTTTCATTAAACCCAGCAACTCCCCGTGGGGTGCACCCGTCCTCTTTGCTCGCAAAGCGGATAGAACCCTTCGTCTCTGCATCGACTACCGCGGTCTCAACCGCTACACGGTTAAGAACAACTACCCCATGCCTCGTTCCGATGAGTTGTTCGACCGCCTAGCAGGCAACCGCTTCTTTACGAAGATCGATCTTCGTAGCGGTTACCATCAGATCCGCGTCGCTGCAGCCGACCAGCCGAAGACCGCGTTCCGATCACGATTCGGTCACTACGAGTTCACGGTGATGCCATTCGGCCTCACCAACACACCCGCTACCTGCCAGAGGGCGATGAACGATATCTTCAGGGACATCCTGGAGCAGTACGTTCTCGTCTACCTCGACGATATCCTGGTGTATAGTCGTACCCTTGAGGAGCACCTCAGACACCTCCGCGACGTCATTGACCACTTGCGCAGACATGGCTTCTACGCCAAGCTTAGCAAGTGTCGCTTTGCCCAGCACAAAGTGGATTTCTTAGGACACTACGTGTCTGACCAGAGTCTCCACATGGACGACGCGAAGATCACTGCTATTGCGGAGTGGCCCGCCCCCACATCCGCCAAGCAGCTTCGCAGCTTCCTAGGCCTGACCAACTACTATAGTAATTTCATCCCGGGATACGCTAGGTATTCCTACATCCTTACCTCCACCCTCCTCCGGAAGAACCCACCCTAGGCTTGGACACCCCTCTACGAGGATGCCTTCCGCGCCCTCAAGAAGGCAGTGACATTCGCACCGGTTCTTCACCTACCCGATTTCGATCGCCCTTTTATCCTTACCACCGATGCGTCAGACTTTGCTGTAGGAGCAATGCTTTCTTAGGTTTTCCCCTCCTCTCCTGATTCCTCTCATCCTCGTATCCCTCGCTTCCCACCACCTACCCCTACCACCGCTTCCCGACTGACGCCTATTCGTCCAGCTACTGACGAGCCTTCTATTGACTATTCTCCTACCATCGCCGAGGACGGCACTGTCGAGTCTCGCTCAGGTGATTGTCCAATAGCCTTCTACTCCCGTCAGCTCCTGCCCGCCGAGATAAACTACACTGCTGATGAACGTGAGGTTCTCGCAGTAGTTTATGCCGCTCGGCACTGGCGTCACTACCTGCACGGGGCACCGTTCACGGAGCGTACGGACAACTCTGTTGTCCAGGCTTTTCTGACAAAACCGAAACTCACTCCTCGACAGGCTCGCTGGTGGCGCAACCTATCCGAGTTTAGTTTCACCACTGAGCACATCAAGGGTGAGACTAACCGGGTCGCAGATGCCTTATCCCGGCGCCCTGACCACGATCAGGAGCAGATCTAGCTCTCTTCCATCTCGATCACCATCGTCCACCACTCGGTGATCGACGAGTTTCGCACTCAGTACCGTCACTGCCCCGACTATCGCGACATCCACGCGACCCTTCGGAGTGGCAAGACCGTCCCGAACTACTTTATCGGGGACAACGGTCTTGTGTACTGGCACGGTTCACAGGGCACCAGAGAGCCCCGTATTTGCATTCCCTCCACTAGACAGCTACGTGTCCGAGCAGTAGCAGAGTTCCATGACCAGGCAGCCGCCGGTCATATGGGCTTCCACAAGACGTTGGCTCGTGTGAGTTGCCTATACGTCTGGCCGAAGCGCAAGGTTTGTGAAGGACTACATCGCAGAGTGTCCCACCTGTCAGGAGGTCAACAGTGCGAACCACCTGCCATATGGTTTGCTCCAGCCTCTTCCTATCCCTGAGGGTCGTTGGCAGTCCATCTCGATGGACTTTATCGGTCCTCTTCGACCTCCGACCGCCCACGGTCATGATGCTATCCTGGTCGTCGTCGACCACTTCACGAAGCGTGCACGCTTTGTTCCGTGCCGCTATGCTATCAGTGCACGTGAGGTCGCCGACATCGAGTATCTCGTACGTTGGAAGGGTTACCCTGATGAGGAGGCTACCTGGGAGCCCCTCGAGCACTTGCAGCACGCTCGCATGATGGTGCGTGCCTATGACCGTGCTCGTCGTGCTGGGTTCACTGCTCCTCCTCAGCCCACTGACCCTCCTCCTTCTCCTCTGGGGAGACCACTGAAGTCGATCCTGCTCCATCTGAGGCAGACTTTCAGCAGCAGCCAGATGCTTCTGAGCGTCCACAGCGCACTCGTCGCCGTCCTGCTCGATACGACGATTGACTCTGACTTACCTTCCCACGTCTTTGACTTCTTAGTACTCCCTCCACATCAGTTTTGCTACTTCAGCTCGTCAACGTTACGGCTCTTCCTCTACGGCATTCCGGACTTCTCATCGTGGACGTCATCGGCAGCTTCATGGACTTCATCACGATCAGCTTTACCTACTTCAGACGTCGCCACTCTCTTACCACTCTACCCTGTACAGTACCCTGCTTGTGTCGCATGATGGTTTCCCTTTAGCCGGGTTCTTCTGAGTTGGGTTCTCCCTTGGTATACGCATAGGCATTGGGACCGTAGCGTTGCCCTGGCTTCCCATCTTACGGATCTAGCTCGGACTTCCCTACCTTAGGAGTCATCTACATAATTCCCTTACCCATCACCTTCCTACCCTCTGCCGGCCCTCACACCCTAGTTAGGCAGCCCCGCATGCTTCATCTAGGTGCGCCCAGTATACCAGGCTCCCTTGTTCCCTTGCATGGTCGACCCTCCATAGCGGTCACCCCTTAGCCGAGCTTTACCCGCCCTGATGGTCTATCTGTTAGGGTCATTGGTTCTGTTCGCTCCCATTTCCCTACCCTCATTGAGCCTGATGACATGTGTCTCCCTGTTATCTATGTGTGGATGCCCTTAGGAGTTTTTGACCCCTAGGCTGCATTCGCCACCCTCAGAGACCATCCCACCCTTTTGGTTTGCGACACACCCCTCCTGTGACATATGGTTGACTTGTTGTTGCTTGTTGCTCTCAGACTGAGGCTACTGCCTCTGACATTTCTAGGATTTAGTTGTTCTACTTTTGTTGTTCTTAGGACTTATACACTAGTCAGCTGTTACCAGACTGAGGCTAGTGCCTCCAACATTCTACGATCTAGTTGTCACTACTTCCTGCTTTCCTAGGACATGTATGCTAGTTAGTTGCTTTGCTTTCCTATGACATGTATGCTAGTTAGTTGCTTTGCTTTCCTATGACATGTATGCTAGTTAGTTGCTTCTGCTTTTACTTAGGCTGTTAGCTGTGACATTGCTGTTTTGTGACATTTTCTAGCCTAGGTTGCATCGCATGGACTCAGCATGGAGCTTGCTCCACATCCTAGACTACTCATGTTTTTCTTTTTCTTTGGTAGAGTTCCGCTTCTTGACGGAAGCGTGTTTGTATCTAGGCGATCCATCACTGGCCGAGGATCGTGTAGCGGACCTCTGGTTGGGTGGCCTGTGAGACCAGCCCCTTGGCCTGTGTTCTATTCGGGGGCAGTCCAGTCCAGTCCAGTCCAGGCCGGTACCTGTCGGTACCAGCCAGTCCAGTCCAGTCCCATCAGTCTGCTGGGGTATTACCCAGCAGTTGTCTGTTTTCAGTCTCATTCTTCACTTGCACATTTTGGAGTACGTGCGTTGGAGTCTTGCGTGGGGAGCTGCGCTGTGCCCCTTGCTCCCTCCTTCTTCCTCCATCCCCATCTCTGTCACTAGCGGAGCACCACACCTGGTGGGTTTGCTACACACGAGGAGCTTTAAAATTAGAGAGTCTGTGTTTCATGAAGCTTTGCCGACGCGTGTAGGGCAGCAATGGCCATAACTCTGTGGTGCAAAAGTTGTTTGTGGGGCCAATGCGCGGACATTGCAGGCCTTCGGCAGTGGGACGACAGCAATGGCCAGAGCAGGTAGCCGTTGGGGTAGTGGGGAGGGGGGTGGGGGGGGGGACGAAGCTTGTAGGGGATGTCATGCGGTGTCCTGCCCCCGCTGCAGTCCACCGTTAGGTGCGGAAGCCTTGTGGGGAGAGAAGGGGTGGTGCCCAGATGATGCTTTGCCTATCTGTGGGCGGAGAATGACGACCATCATCGTCAGCACTACCGCATCCCGCTCCTCGGCAGACAACCCATGGCCACCACCACCAACATCCACCTCCATCGCCGACCTTGTGCCCGTGCTAGACGTGGACGCCGCCTGCCTGTCTTCGCCGCCCGGGAATGCATCACATGCCACTCGCACAATTGGGATTCGACAGGCGAAACACAACTACGGTCCGCACCCTTGTGTACCACGGACTAGGACTCCTCCATGAATCCTAAAAGTCTTTTAGGACTTGTCCTACATTTTTTAGGATTCTTTCAGGAGTGTCTAACTATGGTGCAGCCACGGTTGCAGTTTGAAAATGCTTTCTTTTTTTTTTTTTTTTTTTTTTTTTTTAATAGAAATAGCATAGTTTCATTATAAATGCAAAAGGAGGCCGGGAATCCTTCCACATCTCAACCCGGGGCTAGGTCCCACTTGCACGAATTAAGAGATACTGACCGTAGATAGCAAAGATCAACGGCCGAAATCTCCCAATCCGCCGAAGTGGGACCTTGCCCCCGGAGAGGAGAACCGAACCTCAGAGAGGCCAACTGGAAAACGGGTCCAGTGTCCCATGTTCCTATCAACAGTCCTGCCATTTCTGAAGAAAGGGAGAAAATTATGAAAATGCTTTTCAGTCACCATTTTTTGCCAATGTTGTGAAAATCGTGAATGTATACACCCCACCCCGTCTTTAGGGTCCGGTGGGGATGTGTTGTAATCGAGGGAAGAAAGAACTGGACTGAAATCGTGACTGCGCCCTACCGTCTTCCCCCGAGCATAACTCACGCTGAAAATGAACGTATACAAGCCGTCTTTCCGGTCCGATGCAGTCAAAATGAGGGTGCGTTGTGCTCAGGGGAAGACGGTAGTTACCGCGTTTTTTTTTTTTTTTTTTTTTCTGCTTTTTGCTTTTTTAGGTGGGCTGTTCCCTGCGACCTTATGATTGCTGGCCGCACTACTCTCGAAATGTGCAAAACGAGAGCGAACCTTCCGCTAGAACATGGAAAGATACACGGCCATGATTTTTGTCTTTTGTGCATTTCAAGAGGAGTGCAGCGAGGCCCTATGATTGCCTACGCTGTTGATTACGTCATCAAATTCAGTGAAGCGTGGGATTTATCCGATCCAATCAGAGATCATCTGCCTACCCGGTCATCGATTCAGCGTAGCATCGACGTCCATCCAAATTCTATAGCAGCCACCTTCATTTCACCTTTCGGAGTCCGGAGGGCCGTGTGCGCGGAGTCGGTCTCAGGAGGTAGTACCATGGGCCACGCTGCGCTACTCTCCACATGTGCAAAATGAAAACGAATCCTCCGGTAGAACATGGACAGATACATTGCCATGTCTTTTCTCTTTTGTGCACGTGGAGCGTAGTGCAGCGACGCCCAACGTCCCATTCCCTTACGCGCGCGCACACACACACACACACACACACACACACACACACACAAAGTCCGACGAAACAGTCTCTTCGGCACAGTTATGCTTTTTTTGAGTGTATAGCGATTATGACCGGCACACACACACACACACACACACACAAGTTCACGAAAGATAGAGAATTGATTGACAAATCGAAAAAATGATTTCTTCTTGAGCATTGATTTGAACGCATTAAATTTGCCGCGTCTTGGATTCTCCCTTTTAGAAAAAATAAAATAAAATTAACTCGTGACGTCTTGTGGATGACGAAACTGCCGTCGAGCCTGACCAATCACCGTCGACGACGGGGAAACGAGGACGGAATGGGTGGTCAATAAAAGGTAGATCCGGCCATGAGCAAGCTGGATGGAATCTGATATACACGCTCCCCTGTCTTGTACTTCTCTCCATTTCTGCCTTTCGGTTCATCGGACAGGTGTTTATATATATCGTCAAACAGAGCAGAGCTGCCCGGTAAACCGTAGGCAGAGAGGGAAGGAGAAGAGGACAAGAAACAAGGGGCTGTGAGTCTGTGACATACTGTGCCGTCGGAGTTTCACCCCATATATGTATCGCCAGAATACAAATATATCGTCGCAATGCATATGTGTATATATACTCGTGTAGTAGATAAAGGGGGTGCGGGGGGTGGAGAGAGAGAGAGAGAGAGAGAGAGAGAGAGAGAGAGAGAGAGAGAGAGAGGTATGGTGATAGGTAAGTGGTAATCGGTGAGAGGAGGTGGGAAGGATTTGAAAAATAGAATTGTTTATTTTATTCACGGGATTTACGTATTTTTCAATGAAGGAGCGGCCAATCAAACAGCGGTTAGCTTACTTGTGAATTTTTAGGGTTATTGGATAAGAGGGCCCCCCCGGTTCCATCATACACCAGATGCACAACAGACAAAAAATTATGGCTGTGTGTCTTTCCATATTCTGGGAGAAAATCCAGTCTTTTTTTTTTTTTTTTTTTTTTTTTTTTTTTTTTTTTTNTTTTTTTTTTTAATAAAGAAAACAGAGTTCCGATCAATTTGTGTCCAGTCTCATTTTGCACGTTTGGTGAGTGGTGGAGCGAGGCCCTAAGAGCGAGGGCATTTTTCTTCCTTTCTTTTTTTTGTTTTTTTCCTTCGCGCGGAAGATCCCCTCTCTTCTTTTTCTTCTTCTTCTTCTTCTTTTTTTTTTTTTTTTGGAAGATCTTCTTTCATCACGGAAGATCTTCTCTCTCCTTCTTTTTTTTTGGGAAGATCTTCTTTCTCGCATCTGTCGTCCGTCCCGGAAAAGAAAAAGAAAAAAGAATCTGGTGTCCAAAATTTCTCCGCATAAAAAAATAAAATAAAAAATTTCTCCGCATTTACTCGTCTGTTTGCTCCCAGGTCAGTATGGTCCGAAAAGCAGACGAGAGATGGCAACGGCTATCCGTCTTCCCCCGAACATAACGCACCCTGAAAATGAACGTATACAAGGTATGTTCCCGTCCCAATACAGTCGAAATGAGCGTGCGTTGTGTTCGGGTGAAGACGGTGGTAGATTGCCGCTTGTTGTGGATGGCGTGCCGGGACAGAGAGGGATGATCCATCGGGATAGCGATGGTTGTTGGGTCGATGTATTTTCTTAGGTCGTACTCACACTAGCACCATCGTAAATGTATCTGACCGCATTTTCAGCCAGACGTGCATGTATCTGGCCGCAGTTACGTCCAAAAAATAAGTACAAAGTCGTAGTGCGAGTATATGCCCTTAAGCTACCAGGAAGCTTTCGTGTGAGTCGGCCACGTCCGCCATCTTTTTTTTTTTTTCCCGCTTGCTGACGTGGAACTATCTGACACTGACACGTGTCGACAGCCTAAGTTGTGCTCCTCGTGCTCTTAACTTTCTGTGATTGCTTACTCTTATCTATCTATTTTTTTCCCTCGCCTTCTCCCTTTTCTTTTTCTTCTTTCTTCTTCTTCTTCTTCTTCTTCTAGAAGGTGTGATCGGTGGGCCGCAAGGCGAGGGTGTGTGAAAAGCCCCCTGAGAACGCGTCGGGGTTTGTGCGCGTTAGCTGAGATGAGTACGCGCGGATTTGCAACGAAGAGTTTTTGATGCGTGTACGAAAGGCAGTTGGCCACTGTTTACCACTATTCTTCTTCTTCTTCCCCTCATTCTTCTCCCTCCCTCTCTCTCTCTCTCGCATTCTTTTCTCGTCCGCCCCCTCTCTCTCCATTCTCTCTCTCTCTCTCTCTCTCGGTGTGTGTGTGTGTTCGTTCTGTCTTGTGTTTCCTTCCAACCGCACGTGCAATGCGCATGCTAGAGAGATTAATTGAGTTGGATTAGAGATTAGAGATTGAATGATGATTTATATAAATGCAAATAGATATAGATAGATAGAGAGAACAAAGGATGAGTAAGTGAGGTAGACAGCAAGACCAGCGATACGCAATGCAGCTAGATACGAGGGAAAGGAAAACGCACCGCGGGTAATGGATGACTGATAGACACTGGTACCTCTCTGGTTGGTGTGCGTGTATGGCTGCGTCCCATAATGGTAGTTCCGCCGCCGCCGCCGCCGCCGCCGGCCAAATGAGACTTGGCACTGAGAAAAAAAAAGGTTACTTCTCCGTTTTGGTGACAATGGGACTTGGCAGTGAGAAAAAGCCACCAACGGAGAATGAAAATATAGGTCCCATGAATGATCCTATCGCCAGAATCGAACACGCGACCTCCCTCATGGGAGTTGCGCGCTCAGACTTGTTGGCAGTGAGAATGAGAAAATAAGCTCAGGGCCAACAGCGATGACTGATCGCGATCGTCATTTGTTTGTGGATCTAACGACTCGGGTTCAAACTCGACAACGACGACTGTAAAGGGAGAGGAGGGAGAGTAAGGGAGAGGAGAGAGAGTAAGAAAGAGGCCTGAGACAAGAAGCGCGCCAAGCCTCCCCCATTCGTCTCTATCGGTTTTCGTTAATACTTATTCCAAAAAGCAACATCTCACGACGAAAAGCGGATCGACTGGAGAGAGAGAGAGAGAGAGAGAGAGAGAGAGAGAGAGAGAGAGAGAGAGAACCGATCCCTCTCGGTTTTCCTTGATATTTCAAAAAGCGAAATTTCATCGTCGTTGGGGTGGGGTGGGGGTGGGAGAGAGAGAGAGGCTCTGAGAGAGAGAGAGAGAGAGAGAGAGAGAGAGAGAGAGAGAGAGAGAGAGAGAGAGAGAGAGAGAGAGAGAGATGGGTTTCGTGCAGAAATCGTTCGTTGCGGTGGCAATCAGTTGCATATGTATATTGAGCATGATGGTTCTGAATCTGAACACGATCGATGAGCTGGGGTATTTCCTTGCACCGAGCGATCCTGAGCCAGCAGCAGCCGATGTCGAGGAGCCAGTAATGAATCTTGGATTGCCAGCAGACGATGCCGCGAAGCCATTAATGAATCTTAGATCCCCAGCAGACGATTACGAGAAGCCATTAATGAATCTGGGATCCCCAGCAGCCGATGTCACGAAGCCATTAATGAATCTTGGATTCGCGACTTGCTACGCGGGCAGCGGGAGCAGGTTCTCTTCCTCTTCCTCCTCCTCCTCCTCCTCCTCCTCCTCGAGATCTAAACTGTCTCTGCTTGAGCGAATGCAAGATCCATCGGTTCGGTTAACCACCGCGCGAGCGTTCGCTGTCCTCGACGATCTGGATAAGAGTGTGACGACGTGTGATTGGTCAGAAGGTCAATGGGAATCTTCGCCGAGGATTCCTCTGTACGGCGGTCGGTGTCTTTTCCATTCCGAGACGAGCAAATGCGACGAAAGAGGAAGAAATTTGTCGTTTCTCCAATACAGCTGGAAATCGCGTCACTGCGGTGGCGCCTTTCTGCCTCTCTTTGATCCTGTCATCTTTCTCGACGTCATGCGCAACAAGGTGCGTCTCTCTCTCTCTCTCTCTGTCTGTC